TGGCTTCCGGCTGCTCGACCCCACCCCCCACCTTCTGCAGCACCCCGCCGGCCATTCCTGCCCCTCCCAAACAGCCCCGAAACCGTGGGCCGAGCTCCTGCACCTCTTAAAAAGGCAGCCGATCCGGCCATTTCTCTGCTCGAGCTCTCCCCTCCGTGCTGAGCTGCTCTCCTTTTCCCTCCCTCTCGCCTCTCTCCATATCCCCTAGATCTTGAGCCAGCATCCCTCTATTATCTTTATCTTCTATTTGCTTTCCGTCTGCTGCAGCCCGAACTTGCCCACCATGGCTGGCACTCCGGTTCCTCACCCTCAGCAGACGCTGACCTTCAACGATGTCTTCGAGGACGACGACGTCGATGAGCCCAAGGAGAAGCAGACCATCCACCACATCCGTGCCAACTCCAGCATCATGCAGCTGAAGAAGATCCTGGGTGAGTTGCGGCCTTCAGAGGTCGTCTTGCCGGTGCCAATTGGCGCGCTGGGGAGGCGGCGAGAGTGGGAGACTGTTTACTGACGTGCTGGCCGTTGCGCTGAATAGTTGCCAACCGTGGTGAAATCCGTGAGTCCTGACAACAACCCCCACCATGACTTCTTGTCGCGACGTCTTCTTGCTAATGCCCCCGCAGCCATCAGAGTACGTTGAACAAGACCAAAACACCAGAATCGAGTCATTTTCGCTCTGCTGCAGCAGCGGCGCATGCAATACCTTGCTAACGCGCACTTGTCGCATCGCGCATAGATTTTCAGAACAGTCAGTCTGCCCCTCTCTGTCCGCCGCTGCCGACCTCGCGCAGCCCAGTAGATCCAAAGCTTACCCCTCCTCGCAGGCCCACGAACTGTCATTACACACAATCGCCGTCTTCAGGTAAAGGATACTGTCATCTCGAATGGAAACAACGTTTAGCCAGCTCTCCAGGGCGCAAGGCTAACATTTCTGCGCAGCTATGAGGACCGGCTCTCGATGCATCGCCAAAGTAAGATTGAAGCAATCCATACCTTATCACATGCACCCCGCTGCAAGACCCAGCACTGACAAGCTTTTTTTTCTCAGAGGCCGACGAAGCCTACGTCATTGGCAAGCGAGGCCAGTACACCCCTGTCGGAGCTTATCTCGCCGGCGACGAGATCATCAAGATTGCTGTTGAGCACGGCGCTCAGCTGGTCCACCCTGGTGAGTCGGATTTTGCCGTCATATTTTCATTTTACGCTTGATTTGAGAGCTTCCATGGCTAACTTCGGCTAGGCTACGGCTTCCTGTCCGAGAACGCCGAGTTCGCACGCAACGTTGAAAAGGCCGGCCTGATTGTAAGTCCTCGGCCCGCATCGGCCGCATCGGCCGCATCGGCCGCATCGGAGGCTCCAACCTATCCCAGTATCCCTTTGCCCGGCTAACATTGTCAAACCTCCAGTTCGTCGGCCCCACTGCCGATGTCATTGATGCCCTTGGTGACAAGGTCTCGGCTCGCAAGCTTGCCATTGCCGCTGGTGTCCCCGTTGTTCCCGGTACCGAGGGCGCCGTTGAGAAGTTCGAGGAAGTCAAGAGCTTTACCGACAAGTATGGCTTCCCCATCATCATCAAGGCCGCCTACGGTGGCGGTGGCCGTGGCATGCGAGTCGTTCGCGATGCCGACAGCCTGAAGGAGAGCTTCGAGCGAGCCACCTCAGAGGCCAAGACCGCCTTCGGCAACGGCACCGTGTTCGTCGAGCGATTCCTCGACAAGCCCAAGCACATCGAGGTCCAGTTGCTTGGCGACAACCACGGCAACATCGTGCACCTGTACGAGCGTGACTGCTCCGTTCAGCGCCGACACCAGAAGGTGGTCGAGATTGCTCCAGCCAAAGATCTCCCTGCCGAGGTCCGAGATGCCATCCTCAACGATGCCGTCAGGCTGGCCAAGTCTGTCAACTACCGCAATGCCGGCACTGCCGAGTTCTTGGTCGACCAGCAGAACCGCTACTACTTCATCGAGATCAACCCCCGTATCCAGGTCGAGCATACCATTACCGAGGAAATCACGGGCATTGATATTGTTGCCGCCCAGATCCAGATCGCCGCTGGCGCGACTCTGGCTCAGCTCGGCCTTACCCAGGATCGCATCTCCACTCGCGGCTTCGCTATCCAGTGCCGTATCACCACCGAAGATCCCGCTGAGAACTTCCGACCAGACACCGGAAAGATTGAGGTCTACCGATCTGCCGGTGGTAACGGCATTCGTCTCGACGGTGGTAACGGCTTTGCTGGTGCCGTCATCACTCCCCACTACGACTCCATGTTGGTCAAGTGCACGGTATGTGGCTCCTGTCTGAACGACTCAGTCGGGCCATTGATAGGTTACTAACAAGCAAATAGGCGCACGGCAGCACATACGAGATCGCTCGCAGAAAGGTCCTCCGTGCCCTTATCGAGTTCCGTATCCGTGGTGTCAAGACCAACATCCCCTTCCTGGCTTCTCTCCTGACGCACCCCACCTTTATCGATGGAAACTGCTGGACAACCTTCATCGACGATACCCCGCAGCTGTTCGACCTCGTCGGCGGCCAGAACCGTGCCCAGAAGTTGTTGGCGTACCTCGCGGACGTTGCCGTCAACGGCAGTTCCATCAAGGGCCAGATTGGCGAGCCCAAGTTCAAGGGCGAGATCATTCCTCCGGAGATCTACAACTCTGCTGGCGAGAAGGTCGATGTCAGCAAGCCCTGCGAGAAGGGTTGGAGGAAGATCATCCTTGAGCAGGGCCCCAAGGCTTTTGCCAAGGCTGTTCGCGAGTACAAGGGCTGCCTTCTCATGGACACGACCTGGCGAGACGCCCACCAGTCTCTGCTGGCTACCCGAGTCCGAACCATCGATCTCCTCGGCATCGCCAAGGAAACCAGCCACGCCCTCTCCAACCTCTACAGTCTGGAGTGCTGGGGTGGTGCCACCTTTGACGTTGCGCTGCGATTCCTCCACGAGGATTCATTCGACCGCTTGCGCAAGCTGAGAGCGCTGGTGCCCAACATCCCCTTCCAGATGCTGCTCCGTGGAGCCAACGGTGTGGCCTACTCTTCGCTGCCCGACAATGCTATTGAACATTTCGTCGAGCAGGCCAAGAAGAACGGCGTCGATATCTTCCGAGTCTTTGATGCGTTGAACGACGTTAGCCAGCTGGAGGTTGGCATCAAGGCCGTTCACAAGGCCGGCGGTGTTGTCGAGGGTACCGTGTGCATTTCCGGTGACATGCTCAACCCCCGCAAGAAGTACAACCTGCAGTACTACCTGGACCTGGTTGACAAGCTGGTCGGCCTCGATATCCACGTCCTGGGTATCAAGGACATGGCTGGTGTGCTCAAGCCCCATGCGGCCAAGATCCTGATCGGATCCATCCGCGAGAAGTACCCCGATCTGCCGATCCACGTCCACACCCACGACTCTGCCGGCACGGGTGTTGCCTCCATGGTTGCTTGCGCCCACGCTGGTGCCGATGCTGTCGATGCCGCCACGGACAGCCTGTCTGGCATGACCTCCCAGCCCAGCATCAACGCCATCCTGGCCTCTCTGGAGGGTACCGATCTGGACCCCGGTCTGGATCACAAGCAGGTCCGAGCCCTGGACACGTACTGGCAGCAGCTGCGTCTGCTGTACTCTCCATTCGAGGCCCACCTTGCCGGCCCCGATCCCGAGGTGTACGAGCACGAGATTCCTGGTGGTCAGCTGACCAACATGATGTTCCAGGCTTCGCAGCTTGGTCTCGGATCCCAGTGGCTTGAGACCAAGAAGGCCTACGAACAGGCCAACGACCTGCTTGGCGATATCGTCAAGGTTACCCCCACCTCCAAGGTTGTCGGTGACCTTGCCCAGTTCATGGTGTCGAACAAGCTCTCTCCCGAAGACGTCAAGGCTCGTGCTTCCGAGCTCGACTTCCCCGAATCGGTGCTCGAGTTCTTCGAGGGCCTGATGGGCCAACCCTACGGTGGCTTCCCCGAGCCTCTCCGCACAAACGCCCTTCGTGGACGACGGAAGCTCGACGCGCGCCCTGGCCTCTTCCTCGAGCCTGTTGACTTTGCCAAGGTCAAGCGCGAAATGGGCAAGAAGTTTGGCGCGCCCGTCACCGAGTGCGATATCGCCTCGTACGTCATGTACCCCAAGGTATTTGAGGATTACAAGAAGATTACGGCCGAGTTTGGCGACCTGTCCGTCCTACCGACCAGATACTTCCTTGCTCGACCCGAGATTGGTGAGGAGTTTAACGTAACCCTCGAGAAGGGCAAGGTCCTCATTCTGAAGCTCCTTGCCATTGGTCCCCTGAGTGAGCAGACCGGCCTCCGCGAGGTCTTCTTCGAGATGAACGGCGAGGTCCGACAGGTAACCGTTGCCGACAAGAAGGCTGCCGTCGAGAACATCAGCCGCCCCAAGGCCGATCCCGGCGATTCCAGCCAGGTTGGCGCCCCCATGTCTGGTGTCCTGGTTGAGCTTCGCGTTCACGAAGGCTCCGAGGTCAAGAAGGGCGACCCTCTTGCTGTCTTGTCAGCCATGAAGATGGTAAGCTTCCATTTACGCTGCTTTTTACGCAAAAAGGATGTTGCTAACACTAATGGCAGGAAATGGTTATCTCAGCGCCTCACAGCGGAAAGGTGGCCAGTCTGCAAGTCAAGGAGGGTGACTCCGTCGACGGCTCAGACTTGGTGTGCAGGATCACAAAGGCCTAGATGCAGCGAAAGGTTGTTGACTCTATGGTGCTTTTCAACGGGCTGTTTGGACTGGGCAAACACGAAAAAAAAAAAAAAATTCTTCTCCTAAGAAGTGGCACGCGGCGTGTGACGGATCATCATGTCATTCAGTATGGTTATACAATAGGATATCAAATACAGTACAGTAAAACCAGTTGGCGGGCAAACATTGTGACAAATTGGTTCTCAACTTCTCCCTCTACCCTCCCCTACATCTAAAGTTCTTGAGAAAGGGCAAGTTCCTGTCAAGGACTGACAAAACAAGGATCAACAACAGTTACGGTACAAGCAACTGTTCATGGACGGTAGAGGCTATATGGGGATACGAGGCAATTTGGTGTCAATGGGCTTTGCTGCTGCTGCTGTTGAAGGATAAGAGACGAGGTCGTTTGATCCTCAGGAAGATGGACCAGGAAGTAATAGGGCGACTGGACGCTTGGAACCTGGCCGGGCTGGTACGGGGCTACGCGACAGAAGTAAGAGAGAGGGAGGGTTGCGGGCCGAAGGGGAGGGAGGTTTGGTCGGCGCCATGTCGGGAGTCCGGGGGTTAATGGGAGGAGAAGTGGTTGTTCTTGGTGGTTGGGGACAGGCGCCGTGACTACAGGCATGAGGAGGGCCTCTGCTGAGGAGTTTGGATAGGGGGGTTGTTGGTGGTGTTTTGGGCGTTGGGGTTGGGATTGGGATTGGGGTTGAGGGCAGGGAGTGTGATGGACACGATGGACGCGATGGCCGTGATGACGATGGTGATGGTGATGGCGGCGGCGGCGGCGATGCTTGTGGCGAGGGACTCGTGAAGGCTGAGTGCTGAGACGGGTGTTGTTTGGTTGAGGAGGGCCGTGTGGTGTTTTCTTTTTGGTGCGAATGAGGGTGTATTCGTAGCGCTCGCTATTGGCGAGGGAGCGGCTTTTGAAGGATTTCCATGCGAGAGAGAGGAGTCTTTTTATTCTCGATGTTAACGAGCTTCTTCGTGCTGGTCTTGGTCCGGCTGAAGCTCCAAGTGTGTAAGAGAAGGAGGGGGGATATTGTTGGTATGGCGGATTGGGAATGTTGTTTGGGCGTGGGGTATGACGGTATCTGGTGCCGGTGCTGGTGCTGTTGCTGGTGGTGGTGGTGTTTGCTCTGTTGGAGGGAAAGGGGAGGTGGTTAGAGGAGGAGGAGGATGAGCTCCTGGTCTGGGGAGGCATGATGGCTGCGTGTAGAGAGGGACGTGAGAGGATTTCTACGAGGTGTTGTTTGGGGATGGAGGGGTTTGCGTTTGCGGGACGGCTTGAAGAGGATCTTGAGGTGGGAGGATGGAGGTGGCATGGGGGGCTGTTTGGAGGGAGTTTTTCTGGTTTGGTTATTTGTGAGGTTTTGGGTTGAGAGTGGGCTTGTTGGGCTTGGGAAGGGCTTGGTGGAGAGGTTGAGCTTTGGTAGATGGATGGTGAGAGGAAAATTTTGGGAAAGGGGG